CAACTGGCAACAGCTTGGGTGGGCTTGAAAGTTGGGTGGGGCGGGGCGGGGCGGGGCCTCAGTGAGTCACCAGGGCGGGGCTACCAGTGTGAGCCAGATTGCTGGAGTCCCAGGTATGGCGGCTGTCTGCTGCCCCAGGGAAGGGCTCACCAAAGGAACAAAGGCCTCTGACAGCACGTTTGTCCTGGAGAAAGCCTTCTCTCCAGCCCTCGCTCCAGTGCCAAACAGCTCAGTTCTTCCCTGTATGTCTCTGGTGCCCCTCCAGCTGCCTCCCCTCCAAGCTTAGAGGGAGAGAGTCCGATAAGTCCGTGCGTGGGCCCTTTAAGGAGCTACCTGGGGCTCCAACCGCCTCAGCCTCTGTGAGTCTCAGTTCCCGCTGGTTTTTCCAGCCAGACGTTATGGGGATTCTCTTCCTGGCACTGGAATCCTGAGCGGGGCACCTGGTGTGGGACGGGGACCCCTCAGTCCTCAGGGAGAACCTTCCCAGCTGAGGTGTCCTCCTGATTTTTATCCACCACACGTGGGTGTGGGACCAGCCCGTCCCTCTCCGCCCTCCTACCAGTCTGGATGTGGCTGCCGCTTTAATTCCGTAGTTGTAGTACTTCCATTCAGCTTGATTTCAGACAGTTTTGAATGATGGTTGTTCTGTAGTTTAGTTGTAACTTTGATGTGGTTGTGGGAGGATGCGGTACTGCATTTACCTCCCCGCCATCTTGACCGGAAGTTCTGTAGCACTGGTTCTTAAATGTTTTTTAATTAACAGACTCATTTAAGCACGTAATGAGCACTCTAAAAAATAACAGTTATCACTAACACTTTGTACACTTAAGTTCTAAGTTAAAGTTAGAACTGTGCAGGGTTCAGCTAGAATGACATACACATGCACGTGCACAGATCTGTATAATTTTAGGGGGTTCTCCGGCTCATAGGAGAGCATTTGAGAATTCCAGTCAAGATCCTTTGTCCTATAAGGTATCCCTAATGCTCAAAGGACAAATAATTATAAGGTAAATAACTACTGATTCATTTATATCAAGTTCTGCTGGCCTAAAATTTTCCAGATAAGTGTTGCATTATGAGAGCACAGTGAAGTGTGTCAGTAAACCTTGTCAACTCCTGCCCTGGCCGGTTTTGCTTGGTGGTTAGAGTGTCAGCTCAAGAACTCTAGGGTCTCAGGTTTGATTCCCAGTCAAGGGCACGTACCTGGGTTGTAGGTTCAATCCTGGCCCTGGTCAAGTCATGTGGAAGGCAACCAATTGATGTGTCTCTCTCACATTGATCTGTTTCTCTTTCTCTTTCTCTCTCTCCCCTTCTCCTTCTTCACCTTTTCCTCCCTCCCTCTCTCCCTCCCTCCCACTGTAATCTAAAAAAATCAATGGAGCCCTGGCTGGTTTGGCCCAGCGGTGAGAGCGTCAGCCTGTGGACCGGAGAGTCCCGGGTTTGGTTTCCACAGAGGGCCCTGTACCTCGGTTGTAGTTTGTCCCCTGCCCTGGTTGGGATTGTGTGGGTAGGCAACCACTCGATGTGTCTCTCTTACATTGTGATGTTTCTCTCTCTTTCTGTTCCTCCCTCTCTCCCTCCCTCTCTATCTGAAGATAAATGCATTCGTGTCCTTGGGTAAGGATTAAAAAAAAAAAAAAAAGTCAATGGAAAAATATCCTCTAGTGAGAATTAACAAAAAAAAACACCAAAATAACTTTGTCAACTTGCCTGGCTGGTGTGGCTCAGTGGTTGAGTGTCAACTCATGCACCAAGAGGTCGCCAGTTTGATTCCCAGTTAGGGCACATGCCCATGTTGTGGGCCAGATCCCCAGTGCAGGGCATGTAGGAGGCGGCTAATCCTTGTTGTCTCTCGTCGATGTTTCTCTCGCTCTCTCCCCCCCTCTTTAAAATCTTTAAAAAATCATTAAACAAAAACAAACTAAAAATTAAACTAAAAAGAAACAAAAAATTAAAAAATAACAACAACCTTTTCAACACTTGGCTCTAGTACTATCTATACTGAGGCTGTGGCCTTTTACTTCTTTTTTTTTTTTTTTATTTATGAATTTTTATTTATTTTTTTGTTACAGATATTTTACCTTTTTACCCAATTGGCACCCCCCCCCCCCCCCGTCCCCGGCTTAGTTGTCCATGTCCATTGGTCATGCATACATGCATATAAGTTCTGTGGTTTATCTCTTCCCACCCCCCCACCCCCCATCCCCTCTTCTGAGGGATGTCAGTCTGTGCCCTACTTCCATGTGTCTGGGTCTACTGTATTCCTCAGACTGTTATGTTCATTATATTCCGTATATAAGTGAGATCATGTGGTATTTATCTTTTTCTGCTTGGCTTCTTTCACTTAGGATAATACTTTCCAGGTCCCTCCATGTCGTCTCAAAGGATAAGAGATCTTTCTTTCTTACCGCTGCATAGTACTCCATTGTGTATATGTACCACAGCTTTTTGATCCATTCGTCTACTGGTGGACACTTGGGCTGTTTCCAGATCTTAGCTATTGTAAATAGTGCTGCTATGAACATGGGGGTACATATATTCTTCCTGATTGGTGTTTCAGGCTTCTTAGGTATATTCCCAGCAGTGGGATCACTGGGTCAAATGGAAGTTCAATTTTTAATTTTTTGAGGTAGCACCATATTGTTTTCCATAGCGGCTGCACCAGTCTGCATTCCCACCAGCAGTGTATTAGAGTCCCCTTTTCTCCACACCCTCGCCAACACTTGTTGTTTGATGATTTGTTGATGGCGGCCATTCTGACAGGTGTGAGGTGATACCTCATTGTTGTTTTAATTTGCATCTCTCTGATGATTAGTGATGTTGAGCATTTCTTCATATGTCTCTTGGCCAGTTGTATGTCCTGTTTGGAGAGGTGTCTATTCAGCTCCTCTGCCCATTTTTTAATTGGGTTCTTTGTCTTCTTTTGTGGAGTTGTATGAGCACTCTATATATATTGGAAATTAACCCCTTATCTGATACATCATTGGCAATGATGTTCTCCCATACAGTGGGTTGCCTTTCAGTTTTGATGATTGTATTCTTTTGCTGTGCAGAAGCTTTTGAGTTTGATGTAGTCCCATGTGTTCATTTTCTCCTTTATTTCTGTTGCCTTAGGTGATGTATCAGTGAAAATTCTGCTCCGTATGATGTCCGAAATTTTGTTGCCTACATTTTCTTCTAGAATTTTTATGGATTCACGGGTCACATTTAAGTCTTTTTATCCATTTTGAGTTTATTTTTGTTTATGGTGTAAGTTGATGGTCTAGTTTCATTTTTTTGCATGTAGCTGTCCAATTTTCCCAACACCATTTATTAAAGAGGCTGTCTTTACTCCACTGTATGCTCTTGCCACCTTTGTCAAATATTAATTGAGCGTATTGCCTTGGGTCCATTTCTGGGTTTTCAGTTCTGTTCCACTGGTCTATATGCCTGTTCTTGTGCCAGTACCAGGCTGTTTTGGTTACAGTCGCTTTGTAGTATAACCTGCTATCTGGTATTGTGATCTCACCTACTTTGTTCTTCTTTTTCAAGATTGCTGTGGCTATTCGGGGTCTTTTTTGGTTCCATATGAACTTTTGAAGTATTTGTTCTAGTTCTATGAAATATGTCGTTGGTATTTTGATGGGGATTGGGTTGAATCTATAGATTGCTTTGGGTAGTATGGACATTTTAATGATGTTAATTCTTCCAATCCATGAACAGGGTATGTGCTTCCACTTTATGTCTTCCTCTATTTCTTTTTTCAATGACCTGTAGTTTTCTGCAAATAGGTCCTTTACTTCTTTGGTTAAGTTTATTCCTAGGTATCTTAATTTTTTTGGAGCGATGGTAAATGGGATTGTTTTTTCAGTTTCTCTTTCTGTGAGTTCATCATTGACGTACAAGAATGCCGTCGATTTCTTGACGTTAATTTTGTATCCTGCTACTTTGCCAAATTCATTTATTAAGTCTAATAGATTTTTGATGGAGTCTTTAGAGTTTTCTATGTACAATATCATGTCATCTGCAAATAATGACAGTTTCACTTCCTCCTTTCCAATTTGGATCCCTTTTATTTTTTCTTCATATCTGATTGCTGTGGCTAAGACTTCCAGTACAATGTTAAATAAGAGTGGCGAAAGTGGACATCCCTGTCTTGTTCCTGTTCTTAATGGAAATGTTTTTAGTTTCTGTCCATTGAGTATGATGTTGGCTGTAGGTCTTTCATATATGGCCTTTATTATGTCGAGATATGATCCCTCTATTCCTACATTGCTGAGCGTTTTTATCAGAAATGGATGCTGGATTTTGTCGAATGCTTTTTCAGCATCTATTGATATGATCATGTGGTTTTTATTCTTCATTTTGTTTATGTGGTGTATCACGTTTATTGATTTGCGAATATTGTACCAGCCTTGCATCCCTGGAATGAATCCCACTTGGTCATGGTGAATAATTTTTTTGATGTATTTCTGGATCCGATTTGCTAATATTTTGTTCAGGATTTTGGCGTCTATGTTCATCAGGGATATTGGCCTGTAGTTTTCTTTCTTCGTAGTGTCTTTTTCTGGTTTTGGAATTAGAATTATGCTGGCCTCATAGAACGTGTTTGGAAGTCTTCCTTCTTCTTGAATTTTTTGAAATAGTTTGAGGAGAATGGGTGTTAGTTCTTTTTTGAATGTTCAGTAAAACTCCCCCGTGAAACCATCTGGGCCTGGGCTTTTGTTTGCTGGGAGAGTCTTGATTACCTCTTCAATTTCCTTAGTTGTTATTGGTCTGTTCAAGTTTTCTATCTCTTCCGGGAATAGTTTTGGGAGACCGTGTGTTTCTAGAAATTTGTCCATTTCGTTCTTCTTAAGATCTCAGTTTCCTTTTCTGCAAAATGGTGGCGTAAGGTTGATGGCCTGCAATGGCTGTCTGCGCTCTAAAATTCTAGAGTAGCTTGAATAAAGTTATTTTTTACTGACTGGAAAATACAGCTTGCAGAACCAAATACTAACTCATGTGAATTGTTTTCACAGCATTTTTGTCATCGTTTGTTATGAATTCAGGAGTCTGGGAAGAAGTCGGTAGTGCTAAACTCTGGAATGAATGGTGTAGAACAACAGACACCGAGCATCTGTCCCCTGCAGAGGCTTTTTGCGTGTTTTATCATCTGAAGTCAAATCCCTCGGTATGTGGGACTTGCCTTGTATATTTAAGAAGTTGTGTAGGCATCATTTATGTAGTATCTTTTTAAATTCTACATTCCTATGTATCTACTTTTGGGCTAAGGAATTCCGCCAGTAGGCAGGGCAGTAACCACTTTGTTATTTATATAAATATTAATGTGGCATATACATTAATGTGTGTTGATAAAGTTCTTAGGAAATTCTGATATAATTTTGTTAGAAACAAACCATAAACATTTGATATTTAAATGCTGCTCTCATTCAAAAACTTATTTCCATTGGTGACTCCACGCGTGCAGTGAGTGTATTAGTTCTGTCAAAGCAGGGAGCTCTACTTTGTTGCTGTATAGCCAGTAGTTGGCCAGTGCCTGGTACATGCGAGAACTCGGTGCCTTTTTATTAAACAAGTGAAGGCTTTATGCATTCTGAATACAGTTTCGTCCGTAGCAAGCTTGCATCCTAACCTAAGTTGTCCTGATTTTTTTAAGTCAGAAAAGACACTATGTAGCTGTTGCTGAGTGATTTCTTTGGGTTGTATTTGTACTAATTCTACTCTTGGGCTCATTCAGAAAATACAGTGTGCTGGGCAGTTTGGGAGACAAGTCAGAGATGAGGTGGCCAAGCAGATGACGAGCCATCTGCTTGTCTGACAGAGTTCCACACCACAACTACTGAACACTTGAACCAAGGCTAGGGGCAGGAATTCAAACATCAAAAGAAGTCAGTAATTCCATAATATTATAATGTTGCTTATTTCAGAATGTAAGGACAAGTGTTAGCCTCCAAAACTGTAGAATTTATTTTAGTAATGTGGTTTGTTTCTGTAGCATGTACTCCAAAGTTATTGAAATTTCATAAGGATTTTTATAAAATATCCAGTGTTTAAAGGAAATTAATCAGGAAACTAAGCATGATCTTTTCTTTTTTGTAATTAAAAAAAATTTTTTTTTATTGATATTTTGGGGGTAGAGGAAAGGAGAGAGAGATAGAAACATCAATGTGAGAGAGAAACTGATCGACTGCCTCCTGCACGCCCCCTACTGGGGATCGAGCTTGCAACCCGGGCATGTGCCCTGACCAGAAATTGAACCAGGACCTCTCAGGCCACTGAGTCACACCAGGTGGGGGCTAAGCATGTTCTTGATCTGATCCTTAGTGGAAAAGTTTAACTTTCTAATAAGTAGTGAAGGTTAAGTAGGAGACATTTCAGTTATTGTGTGTAGTTGTACCATTTATTAGTTAGATATCTCTTGATTATTCAGAACCTACAGGTGCAGCTAATCATATACTCAGCCTTTCTCTTCGCCCCTATCCCGGGCCCTGTGCAGTTAGCGTGTCTGGCAGTATTTTAACAGAAGACGTGGCCGACTTCTGTGGATAGTGTTCTGTGAGCATTCACGATCAGGAACTGCATCCTTTCTGGCCTTGTGGCATTGCATGTTATGTCACCTGGGACATATGGTCTGGAACTTGATATCTAAACTAAGACCATCTTCACAGGCATCAGCAACACTTCAGGTTACCATTGGCGTGAGTTCCTTTCGGGCCACTGTCATTGACTGTGCTAGAACTGTTGATACAGTGCTTACGGTCCACAGGTCTTTACAGTGTGTGACCCTCAGAAGGGCAGCGCGGCTGGTACCCTCCTGTTTTATAGAGGACTCTGGTGGTCTGGACTGGGAGTATCTTCAGTGTCTCACATGCCGACTCTGTCAGTGTACACTTCATTCCAATATAATCACCAGTAGGAGCTTGATTCTTAAATATTATTTTAAAGGAAAATAAGCCAATAGCAAGTTCGGGAAAATAAGTGTTGTCTAAGTGTTATATTAGGATATTCTCAATATGTATCTGCTGACAGTCGGGTGTGCATAACATTTTTTTGACTCTAAAAACTTGGAATTTGGTTTTCCAGGTTCTCCTTTGTCAGTGCAGCTGCTACGTTGCTGAAGACCAGCAGTATCAGTGGCTGGAAAAGGTAGGAGAGCGATGCGGCCGGGAGCGCTTGACGGCAGGAGTTGCCATTAGTTAAGGTTTGAATCTTTACACTTAGACCTATGACATCAAATACTGAAGTGGGGCAGGTATTTTTATTTTTAATAAATTTTATTGATTTTAAAAAATTTTTTTATTAGAGCAAGGGAGGGGAGAGAGAGAGAGAGAAAGAGAAAGAAGGAAACATCGATGTGAGAGAGAAACATTGATCGGTTGCCCCCCGCATGTGCCCTGACGGGCTGAAACCCGCAGCCTTTTGGTGTGCTGGACCCCGCTACGACCAACTGCGCCACATCAGCCAGGGCGGTTTTATTTTCTTAAAAACACTGTAGGAATTTGTTAGAGAACATAAACAATAAAAGGACTTATGTAACAAACATAATTAGCATTGTGCTATACCGATTGTAGGTCATAGAGGCATAAAACAGTTAAATTTTTCCTGTTCACTTTTTATTTTGTTTGAAGGAAATTCCAGCTGCACACATGGAACAGAGCAGGTTATCGCCACGGAGGCAGTGGCAGTGGTGGGGGTGGAGGCGGGGTGGCACTTAGCTGCCACTCACTCCAGACTCCAAAATATTGTACCCATTTTTCTTAGCTTTATGATGAATCGATTGAGGCTTCATTTTTTGGGAAAATTATGCACATAGTATGTGCCCAATAATAAAAATTTTTCAGTGAACTAGGAATTTTAGAGAATAATCATAATTTTAACAGTTACATACTATTAAAAAATTTTTTTTACTTTATTAATTTTAGAGAGAGAAAGGGAAAGAGAGATGGAAACATCGATGAGAGAGAACATTGATTGGCTGCCTCCTATATGCCCCCCACTGGGGATTGGGCCCACAACCTTGGCATGTGTCCTGACCGGGAATCAAACCAGCAGCCTCTTAGTGCATGGGTTGATGCTCAACCACTGAGCCACACCGGCCTGGCACATACCCTTTTTAAATGAAGTAGACCTACTATGTGCATTTTAGCAACATTTCAGCTTAAATTTTAGGTATATTTTTGTATAGGTATTACAGTTAAATTAATTAGAAATAAGAAATTTGATATATTCTTGTTTTAAACTAGATTAGTATACTTAGAAATGTTTATGAAAAATTATTAAATATTGCCCTGGCCGGTTTGGCTCAGCAGTTAGAGTGTCAGCCTGCGGGCCAGAAAGACCCGGGTTCGGTTCTCACTAAGGGCATGTACCTTGGTTGCAGTTGTTCCCTGGCCCTGGTTGGGTCGTGTGGGTGGCAGCCACTGGATGTGTACCTTTCACGTCGATGTTTCTCTCTCTCCCCCTCCCACTTTTTCTGAACAAAAAATGGAAAAATGTCCTTGAGTGAGGATTAAAAAAAAAATTTGTGAAATGCATTTTATTAATTGAGAGATTATTTAAGAAGGTCTGTGAACCTGATAATTATGTACACGATTTTATGTTCATGTATCTATATGTATTTTTTAGGGAGAAGGTTCATCAGATTTCAGAAGGGTAGGAAACGGCTATAATAATTTGTATTTTTAATTTAGGATAATTATTACATAAAAAATTTTTATTATTTTTGTACTATGGGACTATTTTTCCAGACGTTAAAAAATGTATACTCATTTCCAATAAAAATTTTAAAATGTTTTTTTCCCTAGGGACACTCTTTGGGTCCCTTCGCTGTTTGGTTCATGTCAGCTACAGAATGCTGATAATCACACACAGTCCGACAGTGTCAAGTGTTGTGGATTCAGACTTTAAGTGTTACAGGGAGGGTGCAAATGAGGCCTTGTGAGCATGTTATGTCTTAAAGGGGACATACCTGGTAATAAATGTATAAGTGTTAACTTTTTGTGTGTTTATTTACAAAGTTGTCAAATGAAATGAGCCATGCATATCATTTATGATGTAATACAAAATATTCACTTTTATTATTTGAAATAGCCATTCATAAAATATTTTCAAACAAAGAGCTGTGACTTAAAATCTCTTTTTTCTTTAAAAAATAGCTGCTGTGCCCTGGCCGGTTTGGCTCAGCGGTTAGAGTGTTGGCCAGCAGACCAGAGAGTCCTGGGATCGATTCTGGTCAAGGGCGTGTATATCAGTTGTGGTTTGGTCCTGGCCCTGGTCGGGGTCTTGCGGGAGGCAACCATTCTCTCTTGCCCTCTCTCTCTCCCCCTTCCCTCTCTCTCCCCCCTCCCCCTCTCTTCCCCCCTCTCCCCCTCTACCCCCTCTCTTCTTCTCTCGCTCTTTCTCTCTCTTCCCCTCCCCCCTCTCCCTCTTTCTCTCTCTCCCCCCTCTCCTTCCCTCTTTCTCCCCTTCCCCCCTCTCCCCCACTCCCCGTCTCCCCCCTCCTCTTCCCCACTCCCCATCTTCCCCTCTCTCCCTCCCCCCTCTCCCCTCTCTCCCTCCACCCCTCCCCCACTCCCCATCTTCCCCCCTCTCTCTCCCCTTCCCTTCTCTCCCTCCACCCTTCCCCCACTCCCCATCTTCCCCTCTCTCCCCCTCCCCTCCCTGCCCCCACCCTCTATCTGTAGATAAATAGAAAAATAGCCTCAGGTGAGGATTAAAAAGAAAAGTAAAGCCCCGTGGGGCACCATATTAAACAGCAGTTTCAGATTTTAAAAGGCATCTACAAAGAATCAGACAGAAGAATGTGCCGCAGGTGACAGGAGCACTCCACTCGTCCCTCAGGGGCTTAAAAACAGCTGCTCCCGCCCTGCCGCTTGCTCATGGTCAGAGCGTCGCCCGCGGACCAGAGTCGCTGCTTTCATTCTGGTCGGGGCACGTACTTTGGTTGGGGTTCGGTTCCTGGCCCTTGTCGGGCTCGTGCGGGAGGCAGCCAAATGTTGTGTCTCTTATATTGATGTTTCTATCTCTTCTCTCTCACTCTACTCCCCCCCCCCACTCTGTCTGAAGATAAATGGAAAAATATCCTTGGGTGAGGATTAGAAAAAAAAATAAGCTGCTTTCTATGTTAACATCATGCATTTTTAAATAACTTCTTACACTTTTATTGATTTTAGAGAGAGGATGGGAGCGGGAGGGAGGGAGGGGGAGAGAGAGAAACATCCATCAGTTTGCCTCCTGCACACACCCTGACCTGGGATCTAACCTACAACTTAGGCTTGTGCCTGGATCTGGAATCAAACCAGTGACCTTTCGATGCACAGGATGATGCCACACCAACCAGGGCCATTATCCTAGATTTTTAAAAACTTGAGAGTCTTTGGAAATCCATCAGACACAGGCTTAGCGGGACATTGAGGTTAGAGTGATTGGAACTTGCCTGCTGTCATCGTATGTAGTAGCCGGCCCCTTATCCCTGGGGCTGTGTTCCCAGAACCCGGCGGGTGCCTGACCCTGCAGATAGCACCAGACTCTGCACATTGTCGTCTTCTGTACATACACACCTGTGATAAAGGTTAGGAACTAGGCGCGGTAAGAGATGAACAATTAATGACATAGAGTAATTATAACAGTAATTGGACCCAGGCACAGCAGTACCTCACCAGTCAATGTGATAAGTGAGGTGGCTGCTAGCAGTGACAGGTGCAGTGTGCACAGTGTGGACACTCTGGGCAGAGCCGGATGTGGGTTTCTCTGTGCTGCTCAGAACCAGCACCTAATTTAAAAGTTGCGCATTGTTTATTTCTGGAATTTTCTGTTGAATATCTTCAGAATTGGGTTGACCGTGGGTAACTGAAACCACGGAAAACAGAACCGCAGAAAGCAAAACTGGATCAGGGGGGACTACTTAACGTTTTTTCAAATTTACTTAAAAGTGGCTTTTACGAAACTCGTCTGCAGGTGTCACTGTTGGGCAGGACAGGGAGGGACCGTGACAGCTGGGGGGTCTGGGTGCCACCTGGCAGCACAGTGCTGCCCTGCCACCTGTGCTCCTGGTTTCATTTCCTCAGCTGCAGCTCCCTTAGGCAGGCCGTGCTGTCCTCAGTTCACAGACCAGGGAAGGGACATGAGGGTCACTCAACTAAAAAGGGACAGAACCAAGATCAGACCTAGGTGAGGGGACAGCAAAGCGTGTGTTCTGTATTTCCATGGACACCTCTACCCCTGCAAGGCCTGCTATTACTGTGAGTGGTGTTAAATAAACACCTGGAGAAATGTTTCTATTCTGTAATGATGTTATATATTTTAATTTGAAATCATTGTGTGTTAGGTTTTTGGCTCTTGTCCAAAGAAGAATATGCAAGTAACTATTCTCACATGTCGACATGTTACTGACTACAAAACTTCAGAATCCACCAGCAGCCTTCATTCTCCTTTCCTGAGAGCCCTAAAAACCCAGGATTCCAAAGAGCCTCCGTGCTGTCCACTGCTGGAACAGCCGAACATCGCACACGGTCTCCCCGCAGCAGGTGGGATCGAAGCCCGTCCCCTGGACGTCTTGCTGCTGCTGCTTTACTGGGGGCTGTCACTTTGAATGTTAGCGATCTTTCCGACGTAGTTCGTTAATGAGGATGAACGGTGCATTGCTGTTCGTCCTCAGTATCTGTAGTTTCTCGTACGTTCTCTTTGGTTTGAGTTTTAAGACTTTCCAGACACAGTTATAGGAGAACAGCTCAGAGCTCTTAACTGCTGCTCTTCGGAGTTGCCCTGTTTCTGGTCTTTGTTAACTCATCGTGTGAGCCCCTGTTGGATATAAATTGTTGATATATGAAAAGTTGGTAAAGTATGTTTTAGTTGTCAAAATAGTAGGTTTCAGATACTGGATCTTGGTAGTTTCCATATTTTTTGTTCCTGTTACTAACATAATATCAAAATTAAATTTTTACTTTTCAGTAGTAAACGTTATTATATATAATTAGTTGTTATTTGTTAATAACTCAGAGGATTTTCTTTCCTTTCAATGTTAAGTTTATTAGAATAAGTGGCTCAGTATTTTATATTATGTTTCATATATTTATTATTTACATTTCTTGTAGCAACTTAAGATGTTTCTCTGCAGTATGTTCAGGAAATACAAAATAAACAATAGTCACTTATACTGTACACCTGAAACTAATACAAAATACTACTGAATATAAACTGTAATTGAAAAAAAATTTAAAAAATATGCATTAAAATTAGTTCAGAATGGCAGTAAATGCTTTGATTAGAGACAACTTTTTTTAAAAGCAGCCTTTATTATTTAGAGACTTTAATTTAAAAATTCTATAACAGAAAAGTTTTTCTCCCCTTGTATATACATAGTTCTGAGTTACTGTCAAGTGTGGAGAATCCCCGCCGTTCTGTACTTGTGCTACACTGATGTGATGAAATTAGACCTCATTACAGTGGAAGCTTTTAAGCCTGTGCTTTCTTCCCGAAGCTTGAAAGGTTTGGTTAAGGTAAGGATTCATCTAACGCATTGACTTCGTAGCTGAGTTGTTATAAAGAACAAACAATAACAAACATAAATGTATGGTGTCAGTGTAAAACCTAAGTAGCACTTAGAGATCTTTTTTTCTCAAAACAGAGCTTCCTAATCTTGCAGTGTGAATTTGATCAGCACCCTCTCTTGTAGATACCCCTCTAAGTTGAAGAGTGTTTGGTTCATGTGATAGAGATCAGTGCCAGGCATTTGAATCCCCGGCGGCTGTGTAGAAAGATGGTTTTACTGTTCGAGAAGTTTTTGTAACTAATTGATTTTGAAGGTTGATAATTTTTGAGAAGGCAATTAATTTGGAATTAATCTGGAAGGTGGTAGTTTTTGAGACGGCAAAGTATGGATCAAATATCGCAACATTTATTCACCTAATTTTGCATGGGACTAGGTGTGTGGAGATGAAATAAACCTGCACGCTGCTTTCAGTCTGTGTATATCTGGGGGCCCTTTCCCCAGAAAAGTGCAGATTGTAACATGCACAAAGAATTCTGCCTGTGATTTCAGGGAGTTAGGAACTCTCCTCCTTTCCCTAAGAGATTCGCTGAAAGTCCATGGGCCCCCAATTTGAGAACTACTTCCTGAGAGGGAAGAGGTTACAGCAACATTGTTCCCAAGCCTGTTTTATCAGAGTGGCCCTTAGTGTCGACGGCTTTTCTGGCATGTTGGAGTTCCTCACCTCACAGGTCTCAGAAATTAGTTTGCTTGCTGGAGTGTCAGTTCTCTGTGGGGACAGGCCATGTCTTTCCACGTTGGTATCCTGTGTGTCACGTACTCGGCATGTAGAAGATCGCCCTCAGTAACCATTTGTTGCATTCATAAGAGTCAAACTGTAAGAGTCTAGTTCAGTACAATTCAAGTACAGTTGGTGTTCCATACCCACAGATGTCAGGGCTGACTGCATTACTCTGCTCCATTTTCTATAAGGGACTTGAGCATCTGAGGGCTTCAGTATCCTGGGGACCTGGAACCGGTCCCCTGCAGGTACCGAGGGACAGCTGTGTGTCTTCCGAATCCACTGGAGTAATGGACACTTTCTGACAAATTGAGCTGATTCATATAGAACATCTCTCTTGAAATACGTGCTAATAGTTTTGTTTGCTTCTTGATTAACTGATTGGCTCTTCCCACTTCATGAGAGCAGGGGCTGGGGCTATTCTGTTCATATTGGGGTTCATGCTCAGCACACAGGTAACTTGTTCTGAGAATTGTAAATTGTGTCATATAGCGTTTAAGTCAACTTTCAGCTCTTAAGAATATTCTTTGAAGGAGAAATTTAAATAGCCTGTTATAAAACCTTTCATTCCTGCCCTGGCCGGTTTGGCTCAGCAGTTAGAGCGTCGGCCTGCGGTCCAGAGAGACCCGGGTTCGGTTCCTGCTAAGGGCACGTACCTCGGTTGCAGCTTGTCCCCGGCCCTGGTCGGTCGTGTGGGTGGCAGCCACTCGATGTGTCCCTTCACGTCGATGTTTCTCTCTCTCTTCCTCTCCCTCCCGTTCTCTCTGAACAAAAAATGGAAAAAAAATGTCCTCGGGTGAGGATAAAAACAAATAAAACCTTTCATTCCTTACATTAAACATAAAGGGGGGGAGGGAGGGGAGTTTGGGGGCTGTTTTGAAGAGTGGTTTTCTTAGTGAGCACGTGTGGTCATCCTGAGTTCATGATTTCTGTCCATCAGAGAGTGCTGTTGGGTCAACAGGGACAATTCTCCAGTGCCTGCTGCCAGCGCCCCACAGTGCTAGGTGGTCCACACTGTGGGGCCTTGGGTGGCGCCGGTGATTTCATGCCAGCCCAACAGAGGGTACTGTTGCGTGCCAGCCAAGGAGAGGGGGAGGTCAGTTAGAGGAGGGCCCCCAGGACCACGGCACTTCAGCCGGATCTGAAAGATGGGTGGATGCTAGTGGGTGGGCATGTGCAGAGGACAGCAGTGCCAGCCAGAAGCGGGCGAGCTCAGGGGGCGTGGAGGGGCGTGGAGGGGACGAGGCGTTGGGCTGCAGAGGGAAGTCGGCTCGTGGGGAGAGAGGGGCCGAGCTAGCGCGTTGTGTCCGGCTAAGGGCTTTAAGCGGCCGGCTGGGAGGTTCCTGAGTTTTGGGCGAGGGGAGGACACCCTTAGATGTGTGACCTACTGCCTTTTTGTTTGAGGAGGTGAACAGCAGCGCCCTGTCTAGCTGGTGCCCGGAGTAGGGAGGGGTTGCCCGTTGCTTCTCACGGAATTCTCAGCCCACTGTGCTAACACCTTCATTGTCTCCTTTCAGAACATTCCCCAGAGCACTGAGAAGCTGAGGAAACTGGTAACGACAAACGAGGTTCAGAGTAACATTTACACGTGACTCCAGATGACTCGTCACGTGCCACCGTCCGTTCCTTTGGGGAGGCGGCAGCACTGTTTCATAGGTCTTTTTTTCAAGGGGGTATTTTGAGGGTGTTAAAAACTGAATAAACATTTTAAATTCATTGTGGTTATAGTTGCTTTTTATGGTGGATCTGTACACGGCCGAAATAAGCCAGATGTTTTTCTTTATCCACTAGGTGGGAGTATTGTTTTATTTGAATATTTTGAGGTAATATAGTTAAGTTTTTAAAAAGCCACAAGTTGTATTAATATGGCAAAGTATAGTTAATTTGGAGCAGAAATTCTCTGATATCTGAAAGTTGATGACCGGATGGTGATTCCTAATATATGGAATTTTTATGAGTACTACAGTTTTGTTTTGTTTTTATAAAAATTGATGATAAGGTAACAAAGTTATGTATTTGCTCAAAATGAAACAAAAGAGTTGCATTTCATCAGTTCAGTGACATCTGACAGGCAGCCTCTGCACCCAGTTGTCCGGGGCTCCTGTGCAGGTGAACTGTGTGCTGTGATTGGCGCTGATGGGGATCATTAGACTGTGACTTGAGTCACGAACGCCAAGTAGCCACACTACTTCACAGAACCACAAACAAGTGCATTAGTGAAAATAAATGTCAAATGGTGGAGTTTAGAAATGCTTCCTATCCCTTTCCTTCCGTTTTAGTTGTGGACTCATTTATATTACATGAATGTATACATCTTACCTATACTGTTGGTAATGGCTGGAAGTGGGGTGGGAGACACTGTGCTTACTCCTTGAGTAAGCTTGGTTTTCCTCCAGTAGTGGAGTGTGGAAGTTTTGTGTTTGGCCCATGTATGAAAGTCTGGTGATGATAGAAGTCCAAGTGTTTCTCTTGTGGCAAAAAAGCATGCATCCATTATGTGTTTGTGGAGCCCGAAGGTGACACCAGTAATGAGGATGAAAAGGTGTAAAAATCTACATACATTGAATTTTAAGGCCGAAGTATCCAGGCAGATAAGAACAAAACAATTACCTATCTTGTCTGCCAGCTATTGCTGCCTAATGCCCACACTTGACCTCGGAAGCTTAAAGCAGCCACCATCCATGTGTCATAAGTCTGCAGGTTGGATGGGTGCCCCTTCTAGTGTGTGCAGCTGGTCTTGGCTCCTCCATCTACAGTCACATGTCTGACATGACTTGGCTGTCTTCCACGTCACTTGTTCCCTCAGCAGTCCTGCCCAGGCATTTCCTGTGATTGCAGAGGAGCAAAAGAGGGAACTGAAACTCGAAAGTGCCTTATCAAGCCTTCGTATCAAGTTTGCTGCAGTCCCAATGTGGTCATGGGCAGACAGTATGGGGGGCACCGCCAAAAGGTTTGGATGGGGGGGGGCATGGCCAATTGGAGCCATTAATACTATCAGTATGCCTGCGTCTGCCCTGCCCACAATTACTCATGCCCCCTCCAACCATTGCAAAGTATGTACACCCCAGTCCTGGGACACCCAGAGTCATATTCAGTTATATCAGACTTGAAGTCCAGTGTCTTGAATCTAGATGCATATTCTGCAGAAACCTACAAAGTAAATAGATAAGCCCTCTACACACCAAGTACACAATGGTGAGACAGGGACAGGACATCTGCAAGAAATACTTCCATTTGAAAGGCGTAGACTAGGGCACATGAGTAGTCATTGGTCTACCAATTCTGAAATTGCATTGGGCAAATAGTGTCAGACCCCACTACTCTACGAGTGAGAAGTGTTCTTTGATGGGTCTAGCTTCTATTCTCTGCCAGAACCTCTCCAGTCTAGATCTTGGCTCTAAGATGTCCTTTTTCATCACATGCCTTGTCTAGTTTCAAAGAAATGATCTTTGATAGCAGCTGAGTCGTTTTCTTAGCCATAGAAAGATGAGTGCCTGAAATACAGTACCCTTAAAAACATTGTGGGCTTCCTTTGTATCTAATAAGTCGACTCCATGCTCTAAATGTCATACATAATACTGTCAAGTTGGGATTTTGCCAATGTGCAAACTTACAGGTACGCCTGCCATCGTTTCCGGGGTGCTGGAACAAGACGTGAGGTTGCTGGGTTGGAGACAGTGGGCCTTGCAGCCTTAGCTGCATGTTTGTGTGAGTTCTGCACGCCCCCCCATGTTCCACGGGGATGATGCAGAACCATCATGGGTGTCGTGCACGCAGTGGCCTGGCTCACCGCTGAGGAGCCTCGAGCTTAGGGAGTCCAAACGTTTTATGAAGGATGGCAACCAAACTTGCTTTTTCTTCTTTTTTAAAAAATCCTCACCTGAGGATATTTCTTTTTTTCTTTTTTTAGAAGGGAGGGAAGGAGAGACAGAGAGAAACATCAATGTGAGAGACACATCGACTGGTTGCCTCCTGCGTGACCCCGACTAGGGGCTGTGGATTAAACCTACAACCCAGGTACGTGCCCTTGACCAGAATCGAACTCGCAACCCTTCAGTCTGTGGGCCAACACTCTTAACTGCTGAGCCAAACTGGTCAGAGTGAAAACCTGCCTTTTCTCCGTGAGACAACTTAAGGACATTAGGCAAACCTGCCTTTGGCTCCAGAAAACACCTCCATCTTCCAAGACTGCTACACAAACAGCCTTGAAAAATTAGCACCTCTCTCGAGTGTGGAAATGTGAGACCGTGAAGAATTGTCTCCCAATAATATTTACCTCTTGTATTTATACCACACCACTGGCCGCTCTGACCATTAGGATTTACCCACAGCTTGGATGTCAGCGTGAAAGAAAGGAGCCAGGATGAACCCAGCCTAGAAGAATGGAGCTGCACCAGCGGAGATGGGGACCCGGAAGGTGACAAGCCCAGTGTGGTTTTGGATGTAAGTGAGGTGCCAACAAGATGCTCAGGTGGTGTTGAGTAGGCAGTCGGACGTAGAGCCTGGTGGTCGGGAGACAGGTCCCAGCTGGCAGCTCCAGATGGACGGCATCTCAAAGGGACCATTTAGTGCTGTGAGCCTGGGTGACATCCCCAGGCAGTGAGTCCAGAGAGGACCAAGGGATGAGCCTGGGGCTCTGTCGTGTTGATGGTCAGGGAGACAGGAGACCGAGAAGAGCATCTGACAAGGCAGGATGGAGCCAGGGCACCATGGTTTCCTGGAAGCCGGTGACGGGAATGCTTGAAGCAGGAGGATTGCCTGTCTGGGCTTCATGCTGCTAAATCGTCAAGGAAAATGGAGGCCAGTGCTTAGTGGTTGGAGTTAGCAGTGTGGTGGGTGGTTCTTCGCTTTCCACCGATTCAGAGAAACATCAATAATTATTTAGAGATAATTATTAATAGAATTCTATAAATAATTATTTATAGAATTCGTAATTATATTCTCACCAATAAATCACGAACGTGAATGGTGATGGTTTCTAGAGAAAAGTAATCAGCAGAATGAACGCACATGATTACCTACAATTGTGATTTCTCTTTTTAAGGCCAATGGAGACCATTTCTGAAGCACTCAAGTCTTGCCATCTTTATTTTTTTCTTTTATTGATTTTAGAGAGGGGGAGAGAGAGAGAGAGACATCGATGAGCGAGAACATTGATTGGCTGCCTCCTGCATGCCCCACACTAGGGATTTGCCCCACAGCCTGGGCATGTGCCCTGACCGGGAATCAAACCAGCGACCTCTTGGTGCAGGGTCGATGCTCAACCACTGAGCCGCACCAGCAGGACATGTCTTGCTATCTTAATTTGTGCTGGGAGAGGGGCAGAGAGGAGGAGGATGTGCAGGAAAGACGCAGAGAATGAGCAGCAGTCACTGCCTCATGGCTGCCTGGAATTCTATTTTGTTTTTGTTTTTTCTTTATCATCAGATAGAGTGGGAGGGAGGGGGAGAGAGAGACACACATTGGCTGGTTGCCACCCATACGACCCGACCAGGGCCAGGGACGAACCGCAACTGAGACACATGCCCTTGACCGGAACCGAGCCCAAACCCGCGACTCACTGATGCATGGGCCAGTGTTCTAACCGCTGAGCCGAACTGGCCAGGGCTGGACTTCTGTTTTTTAGGAAATGGATAAGTTCAGCATGGCTTCCAAATTGGGAGTCTCCTGATAAATCTGGTTCAAGAAAAGCTCAGATAGACAAGGCTTGGCTGGGAGTCTCCAGTCCAGGAGCTCAGCTTGCAGGCCCTGCGTCTGTGACCTCCTGACCCAAGGACCCGCCTTTGGAATAGCTCGCTGCCGGTTACCCCAGCTGTGGCCTACCCCTCCACACTGAATCGGTCACCACAAACACCTGAATGGGAAAGGATCACCAGCCCCTATCTGGTGACCTATTTCAGAGCTATCTGCTGCGGTTAAGTAAGCTCCATTATGACCACCAACAGAAGCTTTGTCTCAGCTTCTGTGCAAATAATACTGATTTCTGGTGACATCCCAGGGCAGGGCCGCTCTTCATTCGCACCGTCCGAAGGGAAAGGAGGGGAGACGAAAGTCCCGTCACTTTGGGTCCTGACCACACGCCCCACAAAGGCGGTCCTGAGTGCCCTGCAGGTCTGCCTGTGCCGCCCTCGGTTTGCCCAACACCCACGAGAGTGGAAGGGGAAGGTTTTCCCAGGAGCCAGCTCAGTGTGGGTGCTTGTGCGAATGTAACTTGAAAGCCAGGGAAGTCAGTATTGCTTGTTTAGAAAAAGGACAAACAGTATGAGCTAACCCTCTGTCTCCCTCCTCCAGCCTCATCGCCGTGGGAGCTAGGCTCCGTCCCCTCTCACCTGAATTCCATCCTGAACACTTGGCGCTTGACGTCTAGGTAGGTTCGAATTTGTCATTTCGTTTCTTTAAGTAAGAAAATGGTTTAGTTCTCATTTCTAGTTCCTACACAGTGTACAAATACACGTTCACTCTGCTAATACGGCTTTGCAACAGAATTAAACAGGCAAATTCTTCATGACATGATCTGAGGTTTAGGATGCAAATTTGTAAAAATTAGTTTGATATACAGCCGAGTTATACAACACACTAAACCAACTTTTTTTTTTTAAATCCTCACCCGAGGACATTTTTGCATTTATCTTCAGATAGAGCTGGAGGGAGAGAGGGAGGAAGGGAGAGAGAGAAACATCGATGTGAGAGAGACACATCGAGTGGTTGCCACCCACAGACCCCAAACAGGCTGGGGACAAACCGCGATGGAGGTACATGCCCTTAACGGGAACTGAACCCGGGACTCTCTGGTCCGTGGGCCGAGGCTCTAACCGCTGAGCCAGACTGGCCAGGGCAAAAACCAACTGTTTAATAATTTTGCTCCTGTTGTTTTTAATTTTATTTATTTATTTCAAAAATGTTTTTATTGGTCTTCTAGAGAGCAAGGAAAGGAGAGAGAGAAACATCGACGTGAGATTCATTGATTGGCTGCCTCCTGCACACCCCCTTCTGGGGATGGAGCCTATCGCCTGGGCATGTGCCCTGACCCACGATCGAACCGGGACCTCTCCGTTCATGGGACGACACTCAGTACACTGAGCCACACCAGCTGGGCACACCTGTCATTCCCGACACAGGCCTAGGAAGAGCCTGTCATACAGATGACACCAGGCCCGTGGCGGTTGAGGACGGCAAGGTCGGACCCTCGTAAACGCCCTGCGGACTCTGCTTCTCTGCCTGAGGCTGCACTGTGGCCGCGGGCCTCACGGCTGGGCCGGCCGAGCTGAGACGACCGGAACCGCTGGGCCGGCAGAGACTGGGCTCAACCTTGCAGGGAGGGAACAGTCCCCAAGAACCCGATGCCTGGCCTCGGCAGCTCTGCGGCTCCAGCCCAGCTGGTGGACCTGGGGGAACACCGCCAGCTTGCGGCGGGCCAGACGGACACCGGGCACGGTGTCTCCAAGCTCTGGCACGCATGCCCGTCACAGGCTTCTGTGGACGGTGAGCTCCAGCTCCAGGCTCGGCTCCCCTGACACTCATTTGAGTTCAGAAGTCGTTGGGAACTGGTTTCTTCCTGTGCCGATGGACAGGTGCGGCAGGAGGCCGGGCAGAGCACGGGTCCAGGGCCGAGACTGCAGTCCTGTGGGACGGAAACGAGAGGTCGTGCGGGCCGAGGCCCAGAAACCCGCCGGGCTAGAAATCTCTGCAGGTGTTTAGCTCAGGGTTGGATACACTGCAAGCAGAACCGGCCCGAGAACTGTGCTCTAGATGGCAAAACAGTATTTGGAAACCTGTCTTCTGGGAACGTCAGCTCCTCCAGCCGAGCCTGGGGAGGCCCCGCCAGCAGCCGCCGGAGGCCAGGGCGGCCATCCCAGGGCACGTCCACCCGCCGCATCGAGTCAGCATCCAGACAGCGCCTTCGAGCACAGACCCCGCGGCCAGCACTCGGTGCCAGCCGGCTCGGCCAAGACAAACCCTGCCTTCAGGCCTGGCGGTCTCGCTGGTTTCTGGGCTTGCCCCAGAAGAGGTTGGGTTTCTCTTTCTGGTTCCAGAATGCCACCGACTTCCAGAGATACTGGGCCTGAGCAGAGGCCCCAGACGCTCAGCCTGCCCTGCCTGTGACGTGCAGGCCCGAGGTGGGGTCCCGGGCCGGGCCGGGCTCTGGGCACGTCCTCGGCCTTCTCCCTGCTGGACCCTGAGTTCCACACGGTGGTCTTGCTCTGCAAGTGCTCTGAGCGGTGGGGTCCTTACGGGGTCAAGCGTGGGCCTTTGATGTTTATAACAAAACAACCTGCGTCCTGAGCTGCCATGTGGCTGCCAGACTGCGGAGCCGGCTGGCGGTGACTCAGAAATTCCGCGAACGGCTGGAGTGCTGGGCTTAAACCACATGGTCATAACTTGGCTGCCTGCTCAATCTCTTAATATTAAAATGTGAGATTGCTCATATATTCATGTCTATACGTTGTAAACCCGATATTAAACATGACCGATACCAAAATAGCTCCAAGTGTATTTATTTCAAAGGAAATAGAGTGACTTACATCTGAATCCTCGCAGCCGCAGCGAACTTTAAAGGCGCCCCGAGAAAGGGGTAAAACACCGTGCAATTATTATTGCAAGTTCACAGAAGTGCTTGGACTTTTAAGAGATGAAGTCCGTTCTGTTAAAAAAAAGCACTTTTAAATGTTATTTATAACCACAAAGGCATTTCTGCTTTTGGACTAATGATCTGCTTCAAGCCTGACCAAATCCTCATCCCGTTTCTCTCCCTGAGAGTCTTTACTTCCATCAGCGGACGTGCCCTGATTCTCCTAGGTCTGAGAGTTCCCGACCTCCGTTCAGCCCTGAGCTGCCACGCCCTCCCTGGGTCCGCTGTCCTCCCACCCTCTGGGACCCTGTGCGTGGGCATACAACGCGAGCGAGCTCTCCTGGCTCCCTGGTGCAGCTCCTCCTAAATACTAGACCACCTTTTCTCAGGTGGACCTCACAGGAGAGAATTAGGGCTCAGGTAAGCAGAAGGCTCATTTCATGGCCACTGGGCCTTTTTCATCAGTCCTGGTGCCTCTCCCCGCCCCCATGCTCAGAGGGACACTCACCACGTGAGCTTGGGACTCCTGCGAGTCCTGTCATTCAGCAGATCAACTCCAAGTAGCTGATCCCCACTCAGGCTCCTTCCTGGTCCACATCTAGTCTCTCTTCCCACCTTATCTCCCCATTTCTTTAGAACTCGGCTCCAACAGCCCCCACCCCACCCCACCGCTGCTCACCCAAAACCACCTACTTGTCTCTGGACTTTCCGCAGAGCCGAGCAGCACGTGGTACCATCTACCTGGACCCGGAGCCCTCTGTGTAGACAACACCACCGGAGAAGACCTGCGAGGGCGGGGCGATGCTCAGTCCAGATTTTGGAGACTCACGAGTGAGGGCAAACATGTCTGTGAGGGGGAAGGGTCGCCCTGGAGGACCTGCCTGATGGTCCCCTGCTCAGGTGAGTTCGGGCCCTGAGCCAGAAGTCAGCGTGGGGCGGAGGCCAGGGCAGAGGCCAGGCGGTTCCCGAGGTTTGGCAGCAGAGTTTTGGCCACAGCAGTGCAGGGTTATCATGCATTTCTCCATGCGCAGGAGCTAGAGAGAAATACCAGAACGTGTGTGAGGCGTCTTTGCAAAGGGTGAAGGTCACACACACACAGACCTTTCCCCTTTCAGATGTGCATATAGATGCATCATGTACATACACATGTGTGAGCACTGGGTGCGAATCTCAGTACCCAGACTCAGTGGCTAACCAAGCTCTGTACTTTCTGTAATCGGATTTTAATTTCCTTTTGGGGCCCACATTTCACCAGCAACAGAAACCAAATGTCAGTCAGTTCAAAGGTAGCCCTTTCCTTGGGGTGTGTCTCCACGTTGGGAGCGGCCCCAGGGCCAGGGGAAGGTGGCACTGCTGGGAGGGCCTGTGCCCGCCTTCCCTGGTGTCTGTGGACGTGACCTTGTCCCTCTCCACGGTCCCTGTTCTCTAGGGGCCGCCGCAGCCCGTCAGGGAGGTACGGAGAGTGTCCTGCCCGCAGGGCGCCCAGGGGCAGCGAGGGCAGCTTCCCGACACTTCGGGGGGGCGTGTCTCCTGTTCCCACACTGGGGGCTCACTGTGGGCTCGGGCACTTGGCTGGGTGTTGCCTGGGAAAGACTTCTGCCCTGCAAGCCCGGTGATCTGCCGGCCCAGCCTCTGCCTGGTCCTGGCTTGAAAGTCAGATTCTTACGGTCTGGAGGCTGAAAGTCAGGAGCACGCAGGAGATCCAGCGTCTGCACCCTGTCTCCCCCCGATGTCATCGCAGAGGACAGGAGGGCCAGCCCAGACGGACCGTGTATTCCCGTCCCTCTCCGTTCAAGCCCAGCCTGAGTGTGACTGGCTCCGGCTCTCTGAGTCTGCGGTGCCGCCCACGCTCCGAGGCATGAGCAGTGGGTGCTGGGGGCTCAGGGCACGCGTGGGCCCACGAGGAAAACGCACTTGAGAACCTGCGGGGACTGCAGGCGACAAACCCGGGCAGGATGTGTGCTTCCATTCTGGCCGTCCTTGATTTTAGGAGTTGGGCTTTTTTACTTTAAAAAAATTTTAAACATTGACCATGAATTATTTTTATAATTAGGTAAAAAAAAAAAACCCAAGCCAGTGGATTATGAAACGGCCCACACTGTTCCATCCTCAAACGCGTCTGGCGCGGATCTCGTTGCAGAGTGCGCGTCTGTGCCCATCAGAGCTGCTGCTAATTCTTCTCCAACAGCCAAGTCACAGACCCGCCGGGCACCGGCTCGCTCACCTCCCTCTGGCCCCCCCGCCCCGGGCCAGGCAGGCGGGCGCCGCCTGTGCTCCTGGACTTTGTGGGCAGTGAGGAGCGTCGACGGACACCTGGGTGACAGCAGGGTCCCCGTCCCGGGTGGGCTCCACGTACAGATGTCGTCCTCACAGGCCGATTTGGGTCCGGGTGCTCAAGTCTCACAGCAGATGAGGTGCAGTCCGACCTCAGTATTTGTGGATTGCATATTTGCAGAGTCGCCTGTTCGCTGAGATTTACCCGTGAGCCCCGAATCAGTGCTCCCGGTACTTTTCTGGTCCTCGTGTGAACACGCCAGGGTGGCCACAGTGGGAGTCCGCTGAGGCACCTGCGTCCAGCGAAGGCCGAAGAAGACAAGGCTCTGCCTGCGTGTCTCTCCTCATGTAGCCACGGCCAGAGGAGGGAGACAGGACGGGGCAGGGCAGTGTGGGCGAGGAGCGCCGGCCCGGGGCCACTAGGACTGGGTGGAATCCCAGTTCTGACACCTGTTAGAGGGATGGTCTCAGGCCAGTCACTTGACAGTTTGGAACCCTGTTTTCTCTTTTGTAAAATAAAGAAAATAGAATCTGCCTGGGTGAGTTGATTTTAAGATTGAAGACTGTAACTTATGTGGGATATGTATATCTTGTATATATATTCACACCTCCCGTAGGAGCAACTGTTCACTGATAACTGGCGACCTTTTTTTTTCTTTATTTTTTTTTCTTATTGATTTTACAGAGAGAGGAAGGGAGAGGGAGAGAGAGAAACATCGCTGAGAGAGAACATCGTTTGGCCACCTCCTGCATGCCCCCCACTGGGGATCTGGCCCACAACCTGGGCATGTGCCCTGACTGGGAGTTGAACCAGTGACCTCTTGGTGCAGGGTCGATGCTCAACCACTGAGCCACACTGGCCGGGCTTCCTGGCGACTCTTCACCACCATGAATAATGAGCATGGACTCCACTGGCCCGCAGGTCTTCACACAAAGACTCTCGGGTTGGTTGGGCATCTCTCAGGCCACAGTTCTGTCTCCTGAGGTCTCTGGCAGACGGAAGGTCGTGTGGGGCAGGAGAGGTTTTGAGGAGGGTGTCGCTGCCCAGGTTGCCACGACAGAATGCCATAGGCTGAGCGGCTTAAACAGCAGAAATGGATGCTTGCGGTCTGGAGGCTGGCAGTCTAAGATCGAGAGACCGGCTGATTCGGTCCCCGGTGGGACTGTCTTTCTGGCTTCTTGTGTCCTCCTGGTGGCGAGGAGAAGCAGGCTTTCTGTTTCTTCTTGTGAGGGCGCCACCTTCATCCCTGACCATCTCCCAAAGGCCCCACGGCCAGCCCGTCACGCTGTGGGGTAGGGTTTCAACAGGAATTTGGAGGGCACACAGCGTCCTGGACCATTGCCCCGGGGCCCGGCTAAGGGGTGCCAGAGGTCTGGGCTGGAGGGAGGCCGCGTCTGCATTGGGCCCTCGGGCAGGAGCGGGGTGAGGGGCAGGGGGACGGGAGGCTGCCGAGGACGCGGTCCCGGTGCCAGCGCTCGGCTGCCGCGCCAGCGACACATCGCAGAAGGGGAAACCCAGTTACATGTCCAACTTCTTCTCTGGGTTGGAAATTGAGTTATTTTTTTAGGTATGGTTTTGTTTTTCATTTTCAATTACCATTTTCCCCTGACTTGTAGATGCTTTGGAGCCGAAAAGGACAGTTCTTGGGAGGCGGCCACCACGCTCGCGTCACTGCCGGCAACCGCTGTCTTAGCCCCTTCGTTCCCAAGGAGAGATTTATTTTCCCGAGCAGACAATCTAAGCCGAGCGAAACATTTAATAGACGGCCTGGGAGGACCCTGCAAAGCGTCCGAGCTGGAGCTCGGTCTGAGGAGAGGGGTGGTGGTCCAAAGCCTGGCCCTTTTCTGGTGTTATGGACTGAAGGGTGCCCCCCCCCCCACCCCGTTCATACCCGGAAGCTCTAACTCTCAATATGACTGTATTTGGAGACTGGGTGTGGAAGGATAATCAAGGTTAAATTTGATCATAAGGGTGGGGCCCTAATTCGTTAGGACTGGTGTCCTTGTAGGAAGAAGGGGAGACCCCAGGACCCTCTCTTCCACACGTGTGCAGAGAGAAAAGTGCGCGTGTGGACCCAGGGAGAAGGTGGCCATCCATCAGCCAAGGAGAGACGCCTCACCAGCCCCCCCACACTGCTCGTGGCCTTCCGCCCCGCACGGGAGAGAAGTGTCTGTCCTTGAGCCAGTCGGCTCTGACCTGGGGTGGAGACGGAATAGGCCACCTCCCTCCTGTGCCCTGGAACAGGCCTCGGCGGCTCCTCCTCAGCGTCTGCTTAGCCCTTTCCCCTTGCTAACAGGACCCAGAAATCCCCATCCGTGGGCTTGGGGGGGGCCATCCTGATCAGTCGAATTCTTTGGGCCACAGTGATTAGTTCCGGAGTGAGCTGGTTCTTTGTTTTTTATTTTATTTTATTATTTTTTTGATCCTCACCTGAGGATTTTTTTTTTTTTTTTTATCTTATCTTCTGGTAGAGTAGGAGTGAGAGAGAGAGACGAGAGGAGAGAGAGAGAAACATTGATGTGAGAGAGACATTGACTGATTGCCTCCTGCATGACCCCAGCCGGGGTTGGGGACTGAACTGCAACCAAGTGTACGTGCCCTTGACCAGAATTGAACCCGTGACTCTTTGGTCCATGGGCCAACGCTCTAACCACTGATAAAAACGGGCCAGGGCAGGAGTGAGTTGGTTCTGAAATTTACGTGGAGAAGCAAAGAATAGTCAAAACCTTTGTGAAGAGAACAACAAAGTTGGAGGACTTAAATGACCCGATTTCTTTACTAGAAACCGATGGTGGTTCAGAAAGCATGGGGTCGGCGTAAGGATAAACACGTGGATCAAAGGAACCGAATAAAAGTCTGAAACAAGGTACACACAGTTATGGTCGACTGATTTCTGGCAAAGGTGCCAAGGTAATTCAATGAATTATATGAAAGACACTTAACCTCAGTAATCATAAAAAAATAACTCAATGAAAAACGGACAAATGATTTGAAGAAAGGGTTCACAAAAAGGATATATGAATGGTCAGTAAACACATGAAAAGGTGCTCAACATCACTGGTCGTTAGGAACTGCAAGTCAAGACCACAAATGAGAAGCTACTACAACACCTAGTATAACAGCTAAAATTAAAATGAATCAAAATACCACGTGTTGGCAAGAATGGGCAGCAATTGGAACCCTCAAGTACTGCTGGTGGGAATGTAAAATACTTGGAAAGACAGTTTTGTAGTTTCTTTTTTTAAAATTGATTTTAGAGAGAGGAAAGGAGAGAGAGAAACATCAATGTGAGAGAGAAACATCGATTAGTTGTCTCCCATACACTCCCCCACTAGGGATCGAACCTGCAACCTAGGTATGTGCCCTGACTAGGAAGTGAACCTGCAGCCCTTTGGTGTACGGGGCGACGCACCAACCAACTCAGCCACCAGGCCAGGGCAGTTTAGTAGTTTCTTATGTAGTTAAATATAAATGTGCCATAAACATTAAATTTATCATATGACCCCACCATTTCACTTTTAGGTATCTACCCACGAGAAGTGAAAACACATGTCCGCGAAAAAG